TTGGTCTCTTTAGGTTGGCATCTATCTTGAGCTGTGAGTCTGAGAATCGTAAAGGAATAGTTCCCCCAAATATTACAATTCTGTTATTTACTCATCCTCACACCGTTCAGTCATTAAGAACCACTTTTATGATGCTATTTTGTCAATTTGAAACCTTGTTTAGTTTCAATGTATTAAAATGTGTGGCAAGAGTATTCAATATTTCCATCTTCTATATTGAAAGAAAGAAAGTCATAATGGTTTGGAATAATATGAAGGTGAGTAAATGATGACAGAATTGTATTTTTCAGTGAACTATCACCGCAATGTACTTAATAGAAACATGCATGTAGTGTATGCTGTGTTTAATGTGCACTTTCTGAACGTTCACCCTTGTTCTGTTTCTGAACTGACCTGCTCAATGCCTGCATGTTTTTCTGTCCTTCAGCAAAGATGCAGTCCTTAGTAAGCTGCGTGACAGGCCTGAAATCCAGAACTATGAGACTTTAGCAAAACTTCGCAAACTCTACGTAGAGAAAGGGAACAGACCCAACACAGAGGGAACAGACCCAGCAGCAGCACTGACCATTAATGAGGCCTTCAGCGAACTGAAAATCGAGAACGAAAAGAAGTAAGTTCTAAGTTATTCAAAGAAGTCTCATTTGCTCACGAAGGCTGCATTTATTTGATCAAATATGGTACTCCATTACTCCAGTCTTCAGTGTCACATGATCCTTCAGAAATCATCTTAATATCCCGATTATTTTGATTAATAAACATTTATTATTGTCATTGTTGAAAACAGTTGTGCTGCTTAATATTTTTGTGAAAACCATGATACACTATTCAAAAGTCTGGGGTAAGTAAGATAAAAAAAAAATAGGTAATACGTTTATTCAGCAAGGATGCATTAAATTGATCAAAAGTGACAGTAAAGACATTTATAATGTTACAGAATATTTCTATTTCAAGCGTTTTGTTTACTTTCTATTCATCAAAAAAATGTACCGCATTTCCCACAAAAATATGAAGCAGCACAACTGTTTTCAACATTGATAATTGTTTAAAACAGTTAAAACATTGTTTCTTGAGCAGCAAATCATGATGTTAGAATGATTTCTGAAGGATCATGTGACACTAAAGATTAGAGTAATGCAGCTGAAAATTCAGCTTTGATCACAGAAATAAATTACCCTACATTTTAACATACATTACAATAGAAAAGTTATTTTACATTGTAAAAATATTTCACAGTATTACTGTTTTTTTTTGTATTTTATATTAAATAAATGCAGCCTTGGTGAGCAGAAGAGACATCTTTCAAAAACATAAAAAAATCGTAGTTATTCCAAAACTTTGAGCAGCAGTGCATATATTAATAAATGAATTTTATTTTACATAACAGTTTACATGAAATGTGGATCATGTACCAGGCTTTGTCTGCTCATTTGTTGTCCTTCAGGAAAAATGACCTCCTTACTATAGTTGGTGAGGATTTAATGAACCTTTGGAAGCTCTTCAACACTGCGGAGGAGGTCACAGAGGGAAAAAGCTTTTCTAATTGGCCATCAGAGGTGAGAAACTGTAAAGACTCACATAAACACAAAACAAGAGCCTTCATTTTTTGCTCTCTACATTATATTGGTTCATTCAGTGGTGTGTTGGGACTGCTAACAATGCAGCCCACTAAAAGATCTGTGCTAGCCAAATGCCATAAACATTGTATTTTTTATTTGCAGCTTTCAAAAATATGGACAGACATAAACAAAAAGCTTCCGGAGGACATTCTTGGTCTGCTGCGTGAGTGAGGCAAAAAAGTTCATCCAGATCTGTTACATCTCTATTTCTGTTATTTGACCCTTGTACTCATTTCAGTTCAGTTTCATTAATATGTATAGGGAGGTCGTCAAGTGTTGGTGTGTTTATCTGACTGTAATGCTTCTATTTTTCAGTTATTTCACTCTGCCTCTTTTGTTTCTAACAGAAATGTCAGAAATGTATTTGAAGAGAAGATGATTTTTGACCTCTTCCCAGAATTTTTCATCAGTTTACACAGAGTGGCAAAAGACTTGAGCTGGAAATATTAAAGATGCTGAGAGGACATTACACCACAACATACCAAAAGCATTTACATTTTTAACAGTCGACATCAAACTTATTATGGAGCAATCATTCTTGTCGACATTTAAGCACTGTGCTCAGAATTATTACTTGCAGTTTTTCACAGTTGCTAAGACACTAAACCCCATTCTCTTAACCAAATTCTGAATAGCCTAAACCAATTTGTCAAATAAATTACTCTTTCTGCAAAACCTTAAAAAATTTCAGACATTGCCTGGCAATGGACAAAATTGCCTGTGACATAGATGAAGTCCTCTGGCTGGACCCAGCTTTCTGTTCTTTGTGTGTGTGTGCGTGTGTGTGTGTCTGTCTGTGTGTTTGTGTGTGTGTGTGTGTGTGTGTGTGTGTCTGTCTGTCTGTCTGTCTGTGTCTAATATGTGTGTGTAATTGCAAAGTGTTTCCTACATACAATAAACAATTTTTTGAAACTACATGCCCTGGACACTGTATCTCCATTTTTTGATTAGTCTAATAATAAGTTCATTCCAACTTTTGCAGTTCATTGAGTAGATTCGCAGATTAAAGCTAAAAAAAAAAGTGATTATATGTTCACTTTAATGACAAGAAAAGGTAAATAAGTTTGCAACAGAAAGTCTGTGGGTGTAGTAACAAAAACACCTTTGGTTGAATTTCGTTTTGTGATGTCACTGTATTCAACCACTACTCAAAACACATGATAATCAAGATTTAATCAAATCAGGGCTGTAAAGATATTGTTAAATTATTAAAAGAGGAGTCAATGAGTGTGTCCTGTGGGAATCACACAGGGTTCAAGTCTGAAGTATACTTTAATTTTTATGCACGCTTAGATATACAGTGTGATGTAATTTCATCATCATAGTATGCACATACATACACTGTATGTGTACTGCCAAATTTCTATACCAGTGTTGCACCAAAATGAAAATAAAAACTGATAATAAACAACCATAAAGTTTATTATAAGGCCATTTATGGGAATCCCACAGCTGTTAACTGTGATTGGATGAGAGAAAAAATGGGCTAGTTTTCATTCCTTTTGGGCGGATTTTAAGTCAGCTTTGGGCTGGGAATATTTCTGAAACCTGTCAACCCTGATTACACCCTTCCGTGATCACTCACTGACTGACTGACTGACTGACTGACTGACTGACAGCCTTCAGTGTTCGCAGAGTTTTTTGGTAAGTTCCTGAATATATGACTTTATTTAATATAATATCTAATTTTTTTGAGTAAATTGTTTTGGATGCTTATGATGTATAAGATTGTATAGAATTAGACTGTAGTACGTGAGACGATTGGTATGGTATGGAGGGGGGAAATATATCATGGACACAAATTAAGAATTCCCACGACTTATTAATTTGTTCCCTCATTTTAGTAAATCATGGTGGTGATGTACTTTATTTTAATTTAAATCAAAATGAGTAAGCAAATTAGTACAATGTGGCAATGATTTACTAAAACGAGGAAACAAATAAGTCATGGGAGACAATTCTTGGCCACAATTTAACTAAAACGAGGGACCGCGGGGCTCTGTAGATTGGCCCAGTGATGTTGGCCCGTTTGAATGCTGATAGCACAATACCACGGACATATTTAATTATATTATTTTGTGTAATTTTAATGTGCTTCATTAGATTAATTAGGATATTATTTAATTAAGCTGCATTTATTTTGGCCATATTCGTGCTGAAAAAAAAGAATGATATTTTAGTTGGTTTAAACAGGTTTTCCAAAACCAGCTTGACCAGATGACAGGTGCCCAAAACCAACCAGTCTGACAAGATTTGATTTGATTTTTTTCACAGATTACATTGTTCCTGAAGAGAAGGCTAACATGCAAATAGATATATGGGACATAGGGAATTACGTTTGGAGCAGAAAGGAAAGTGATATCGATTTGATTTTACTTCAAAATGCTGAAGAAAATATAAAAATGATTCAAAATATCCAAATAAAAGAAATGGCAAAGAAGCTCTTAAATAATCTAAAAATATATTTTAGAACTAAAAATAAAATCGGAGACTTAATTAAAAATTATACAAAAATTACTACCAATAAAAAAATAATGCCCTATAAGAAAATTACTACTAATAAAAAGATGACTACCAATAAAAAAATAATGCCCTATAAGAAAATTACTACTAATAAAAAGATTACTACCAATAACAAAATAATCCCCTATAAGAAAATGACTACTAATAAAAAAATGACTACCAGTAACAAAATAATGCCCAATAAAAAAAGTACTACTAATAAAATAAAATACTACCAACATAAAATTTATGAGGAATGTTTTATAGATGTAATTTTTCTGCAAAATGCTGGAAAAAACGTCATAATTATGAAAAATAGCCATATAAAAGAAAGGGCAAAGGCTCTCTTAAATAATTTAAAAAATAAAGATTTTAGGACTAAAAATAAAATCGGAAACTTGTACTTAATTAAAAATGAGAATTTTATCATTAGCACTTCGGGTGCAATAAAAACATACATTGGGTTCTCGCAAGTGTCACAAAGCAAGGCCAGACACAACAGGTAAGTGCAAATCAGGATGGTTTATTGACTGGGTAAGGGGATGACTGGAATAGGTGTGTTAAAGGCAGGTGAGTGTCAACACAGTGAATGGTTCCAGGGTGCTTATCTGAGTTCTGATGGTGAGGATCGGATGCCGGTTACGTTGGAGATCGTGGAACAGTTTCCAAGGAGTCGTTGGAGGATCGTGGGAGGAACAGCAGGTAATTCGTTCTAGGAGAATTTGGCAGAGAGAGTCCAGAGAAGTTCGTAGGAGTGAACGGTAGACCGGACAGTGAGTGACTGTGCTGTGTGTGTATTTGTAGTGTGGCTTGATTGGTGACAGCAGGTGCGGGTGATCAGAACTCAGGTGACTGTGATCGGGTAATTATCCTGGATGGTGACTGAAGTGACTGTGATGAATCCCTGACAGCAAGATGGTACTTTGGTAGCAGTTCAGTGTGGATGTAACAATCAAACAAATATGGTTTACTTCACAAATGAATTTAATCATTTAAAAAATACTAAGCTGGAGAGCAAGAACATCATTAAATATGTATCCTTAGAAGAGGATAGAAATCATATTTATATAGCAGTAATTCTTTGGGATTACTATCTAGATGAATAAATTGAAAATCGTTATCAGCCAGAAATAGACCAACAACAAAATGACAACCAACTAAAAAATCATTTAAAAAAACTAGTGGAGGAGATGCTCTTTGGCCTTCGAGATCTTCACCAGGCCGGAGTGATACATGGTGATATAAACCCTAGAAATATCATCATAGGTATGAAGTGTATTTTCTTTATTTTTATTTTAACTTTTTACAGCGTATCTCAGAATGTCATAATATTATGCTGTCTATATTATATGTAAAATTAAAACTATATTCTCAACAGATTCTGAAGAAAATGTTAGACTTATCGGCTTTGGCAGAAACATCAAACTGGAGGAGGGAGAAACAACTGCCAATGCAGAGAAAGCTGGTTTCCAAGAGAATGATTATACAAAGAGCTCTGACATCAAGGTTTGTGAAATATACAGCAGATTATCATACTGAAACTGTAAAAATATTTAGCAAAAAAAAAAGGATTTCCACTCATTTGATATGAATTAAGGCTTAAGGTCATACCAGTGAAAAAGATTATATATTCTACATGGAGTCTACAAATATATATTCAGCTTGTCATGTGATCTCAACACAACAACCACTGAGCATGACTTTATGAATAAAGCATCTTCACAACTGATCAAATGTTTACCTTGAATCTGAAGTCACTTTGGATAAATGCATCTGCCAAATGCATGATTGTTAATGTAGATCAGCATGTTCTTCACAGTCCGCTCCATTTCTTGCAGGCTGCTGGGATGTTGGTGTACTACATCCTCTCTGGTGGGAAACATCTGGTCATAGAGGATTGTGACATGCAGAATGATGGGCTAGATATTGTAGCCCAGGATCTCATTGACTGGATGATCAACAATGACCCAGCCATTGATGAGGTCCTAAAACACCCTTATTTCTGGAATAAAAAAATGTAGGTTATAAAAGGTGTTTTATGTCTAATAACGGTATGCTGTTCTGTGCAGTTAAATGAGAATTCATAAATATGGTTAATGTAGTACTTTTTCTTTAAAGATTATGTTATGTATACTTTTATCCTTCAATCAGAGGTTCCCCAACTAACCCCTGCATTTATACAATTTGTGCTTGTGTCCTAATCTGAAAGAAAAATGCATGTATGGTGTATGCTGGGCTTGATATGCATTTATGCACAAGATATGCTGCTAAATTTACTTGCTTTCTTTGTTCACTCAGAACAGAGGAAGTGCTGAGGAAAGTGGGCGATCGACCTGAAGTCCAGTACTACACTGATATTTCAAAAGCTTGCCAAATTTGGAAAGCTGAAAAAGGCCTAACAGGAGTAGAAGCCGTCGAAAAGGCCTTCATCGATAAAAAGGACAAAAATGGACAAAAAGGGGCTGTGTAGGAGAAAAAAGCTTTTTAGTTTATTATTTTGACTTTGATTCTATTTCTCTCCATTACTTCACACACTGTTCTCACCTTCATACTCTGACATAAACAGCTCTGTACAAGTCGCTGTGTGTTTTTGCTTGATGTGCTCTTTGTCTGCTCTTTTCTTTAGGAAAACTAAAGTTCTTGAGATACTTGGAAAGACTGAGCAAGTCCAGAACGAAAACTTTTCTGAAAAGTTTTTCAAGCTTTGTAAATGTGCAAAGAGCTACTCAAAAGGCAAAACGTTTAGTAAATGGAAATCAGAGGTGGGGAGAAATATCCAACAACAGAATATCAGCTTTCCTTGCTAAACTGTGTTCATAAAATATTAATGACTTACCTGATGATCACAACAATTTGGTAACTGTTTACTAACTGAACATTTCTTGGTGTAATACGCTTGTGTTGTATTTGCAGCTTTCAGGTAAATGGCCAAAAATAGACAAAACTTTTCCGGAGGACTTAATTGGCCTGCTGCGTACTTACCGCAACAAACTGGTTCATGTGTAAGACATACAAAAATACAACTAAAATTTGATCCAGATCTCACTTATTTCTGTTCTTGTCTTAAGATAATGAAATATTACTAATGTCAAGTTGGTCTATTTTAACCAATCATTTTAAGTCAATCTAATGCAAATTAATTGTATTGAGAGTATAGATTCGTGTTTCTCAGAGACTTAAAGTGCATCATAATCCTAAATGACCTAAAATATGATTTCTATGTTTAAATCTTTTTGTTACAGGTTAAAGAAAACAGAGTTTTCATTTTAATGTAGTGCATTACAAGCCTTTCCTTGCTTAAATTTCTCTCCCATTAATGTATCTCAAGTTCCATGTTAATCTAGTGGTCAGATTGTTAATTCTAACTTGTTCTAGTCAATAAACTATAGATATACTCAGCCCAGACAAATGCCCCAGTGTATTACATTTTATTCTTGAATGTTCTCACATTAATATGTTTATGTATTGTGTTTCCAATAGGGGGTTCAATGAACAGATGTTCAACCGTTTTCCAGATTTCTACATCAGCTTACACAGATTGGCTATAGACATGGGCTGGGACTGTACCTGGTCTTAAGATGAGCGAAGAGCTCATCAGCACCTGTTGTGAGTGGGAGATGAGAGAGCCTCTACCATACACTCTAAAAAATGCTGGGTTAAATATAACCCAGCGCTGGGTTATTTTTAGGTTATTATAGCTTGTCCATGGAGGGGTGAAGAGACACATGTGTGACCCATGAGGGAAGCAAGTGTCACCACTCTCATTCTCCTTTAGAGACCTCACTGGACCACCGTGGGATTTTGGAGCTTACACCAGCCTAAACCAGTCTCAGAACCCAGTGTATTTTCTGCTTTTTATAATTATATAATATATATAATTACATAAACAGTATGTATTCCGAGAGTTTCCTTTCTAATATTCAGTTTTATTGTGTTTTGTTATTCTCTTTTACAGTTTTGCATGCAATTCTAGACTAGTTTGTATCGCTCAGTTATTTTTCTATTTTTGTAAGGGTATAGATCTTCAATGAACTCCATGTGGGCACTAACTCTCAGTGCTAGAGGGACGACTGGAACATTTTAAGGAAAGATAAAACTAGCAAAAAAAACATGTGGCTGTCTTTTTGTTTGAATCAACCATTTAAAATTATATGATTTTTATATCCAAATAGTGGATAGCCATTGATAGCAGAGGAATTGTTTCCAAAATCTCTTTTGGTTGATATCCACATCCACATGTCTAGGCCCCCATAGTACACATATAATCTTCTAAAAAAAGCAATGTAACTGTGTATTTCCCAACAAATACTAATTAAAATGGATAAAAAGCAAAATGAAACAAGCCTGTAGCACAATATTCATGCAGCTGCACTTATTAGTACCACCTACAGGGACCAGAAATGCAAATTAGATGCATGTGCTTTAATCTTTACATGCAATGCATATTTTTGTGCTGAATGTTTTGAACTGTTCCCATACAAATAAAAAAAGGCTGATATATATATCACTCAGGCCAATTGCTGGCCATTTTGAGATTCATCAGCTGATTAACAAAAGTCATAATTAGCCCGTATTGTTTTAATTTCGTATCGACTTTCATTACATAATGCTAATATACTCATGATTTTCTTCCTGGTTTCCCAGGGTCCGTTCGGGTGTCTGAATAATGCTCGCTATGGCATTGCTTGGGGAGCTCTGGGTGCCGCAGAATTTTGTTTCCATGCAGCACGGCAGTACACACTGGACAGGTCAGAACACATCTGTTATCTAATGACCATCTATACTCATAAACAAGTGACTGCATAATGTGAAAAGTGTAGAAGAATTTCAATACATAAATGTTAATGTAAGTAAATTTGCTTGCTTCCAGTTTATTGCTTGCTAAGATTGGCTGTCCTTGTGGTTAAATTCTTTATGGTTCTTGCAGATGTTGTTTTTCAGCATGCAACATAATCTGTAATTTTCCCATTAGAATCCAGTTTGGAGTTCCTCTAGCCAGAAACCAGCTGATCCAGAAGAAAATGGCAGACATGTTAACCGAGATCACCACTGGCCTGCAGTCATGTATTCAACTGGGCCGACTGATAGATGAGAGAAAGTGAGGTTCATCTTTATGCTGCTGCAGTTTGGAATGGATTTATAAATTTTGATTTTTTTTTTGTGAGGATGCAGGAGTTTGGAACTGAGAAAGACAAATATTTGGTGCAATTAATACCTGCCACGGGGTCACTGAAACCCAGGAAATATCTGTATTTTTAAAAATGCGATTTAATGTGGGAAAAATTTTTAAATGAATAAAAACAAACCCCTAATGAATCATTTTAAAGCTAATAATCTTTACTCTCCAAACTACATTCACAGAGCGGCTCCAGAGATGATATCTATGCTAAAGAGGAACTCCTGCGGTAAAGCCCTGGATATCGCTAGACAGGCCCGAGATATGCTGGGAGGAAACGGCATCGCAGACGAGTATCACATCATTCGTCACGTCATGAACCTGGAAGCCGTCAACACTTATGAAGGTCAGAGAGTGAAGGAGACGTGAATAAATTGATCAGTTCAGGCATTACAGGGAAACCCATCTGTAATCCCTGCTTCGAACTACCTGATCCTGGTCACTACACAGGCAGGAGCTTTGTAATGCTTTGAGCTTTTAAGAAAGTGATCGGGATTACAAAGCAAAGTTGGATATTTTTGGAGGACGTCTGCAAGTTGCATTAGAGCATTTTTCATATTATTTTATATTCTATTACTAATCAAAACCTGATTGTCTCATTAAGTGTCTAATGTCTAAAGTCTCATAAGTTTTTCCCAAGCTCTACATGTCACTGAACATTGATTATTGTGTTCTTTTGTAGGTACCCATGATATCCATGCCCTGATCCTGGGCAGAGCCATCACTGGACTTCAGTCCTTCACGGTGGACAGATGAGCTGCTGTCACATCATGTCCACTGACTGCTGCTGCCTTTGACCTATAGCCCATATAATTCCTGAATGCTTTTAAACTTTCCATTATTTACCATTACAACTGACTTGAAATTGACAATACAATATTCTCTGAATCTGGTAGCAGTATTTGAATTAATGTGTGTCATTTTGAATGTCTGTACTTTATGTTGCCTTTGTCAGAGATCTATTTTTGTATGTTCTAACTAGATCACAACACTTTGAATGAATGTTTGACTGCAGGTTTTTTTAAGCAGATTTGTAAAGAAATGCACCAAGGATCGCAGAGATGAAAAGTGCATGTTATTGTTTGTACATTGATGTATTATAGAAAGATTTCAAAGAAGTGTTGAACAAAATTGTTTACTGCAGTTGAATAAAAGATTAAATATTATAGTGTTTGCACACTGGTTTTCATTACCCAGATTGTACCGAGGGTCTCTAGGGTCTGTTATCTATTCCTAAATTTGATAATGGTGCTGTATCTTGCTATCTGTATCTATTTAGAGTAGCTCATTTGTACTAAGAAAGCCATAAAGAGAATTAGCAACAGATTAAATGAGTTTTCAATAACTAATGCTGTGGGGAAAAGCCTTAATCCTACAAAGCTCAAACCTTAGTTATTGAAACACAAATAATGCGGTTACCCAAACCACATTTGCCAGGGTTTAGAAGGAATGATAGTAAAAGACCTTTAGGTAAACCATGTAATCCATAAAAATTGATTTGACTTTACTTTAAATACATGTAAATACAAATCAAATTAGCATATTAATGTGCATTTGAACTTTCTTTAACATACTATTGTAAAAATAACATGTTTACATTTTGAAACGTTTAAACAGTTCCTTTTTAAGTTAAATTAAACAAGCCTATTTTATCATGTATGTATATAGCATGAGTAACACGCAAATCATATAAGTGTACCCCGTCTCATATTAAGTTAATGTTTGATTGGTTTGGTTGTGTATCTACTGCTCTGTGCTGTGCTGCAGGCCTTTATTGATGGTGGCTAGGGTTTGACTGGCTCCCTGTAGCTCCATACTCAGCTGACTGCTTCTCTCCAGCACCTCCGATAGCTCAGTGATGCTGGCCTCCATGCCCTGACTGTGCTGCTCATAATACTCAAACATTTGCTCCTTCACCTGCTGACACATCTCACTCACCTGCACAGACACACAAAGCAATAGTTCACTGAAAATTTGCTCCACCTCAGGCCATCTAAGGTGTAGAATTTGTTTCTTTATCAGACACGATGTTCACAAGACATTAATTGATGGACTGGAGTGGTGTGGATTATTGTGATGTTTTTATCAGCTGTTTGGACTCTCATTCTGACGGCACCCATTCACTGCTGAGGATCAACTGGAGAACAAGTGATGTAATGCTAAATTTCTCCAAATCTGTTCTGATTAAGAAAAACTCATCTACATCTTGGATGGCCCAAGGAAAAGTACATTTTCAGCAAATGTTCAATTTGGGTGAACTATTCTCGTAAATGTACAGTGTTTGCATTAAAAATATATGAAAGTTTTATATATGTGACCCTGGACCACAAAACCAGTCATAAGGGTCAATTTTTCGAAATTGAGATTTATATATCATCTGAAAGATGAATAAATAAGCTTTTCATTGATGTATGGTTTGTTAGGATAGGACAATATTTGGCCTATAACTATTTGTGACCCTGGACCACAAAACCAGTCTTAAGTCGCTGGGGTATATTTGTAGCAATAGCCAAAAAATCATTAGGATATGAAGTAAAAATCATGTTCCATGAAGATATTTTGTAAATTTCCTACTGTAAATATATTAACACTTACTTTTTTATTAGTGATATGCATTGCTAAGAACTTAATTTGGACAACTTTAAAGGCGATTTTCTCAATATTTTGTTTTTTTTGCACCCTCAGATTCCAGATTTTCAAATAGTTGTATCTCGGCCAAATATTGTCCTATCCTAACAAACCATACATCAATGGAAAGCTTATTTATTCAGCTTTCAGAAGATGTATAAATCTCAATTTCGAAAAATTGAACCCCAGCGACTTAAGACTGGTTTTGCGGTCCAGGGTCACATATTATTATGCTTTGGGCCAGTTGTTGCTGAGCCAAGTTACATAATTATTAACAATCACTGACTTTCTATGCATATATGCAACAAAAACAAAGAATATGTTCTTAGCTCCCATGGAAACCATTTGGATGTTAAGTTCCTTCAGAAGTTTCCTCTAAATATTTGTTAACCCCAAGACCACTCAAAGGTTTGAGACCTTAGAAATGTGTATAGAACTTGTTCAAAAAATATTCATACCATAATAAATCTTCAGGCATACATCAGATTCCATAGAAAAAATAAAATTTGAAAATAATAATAAAATAAAGAAATAAAGAATTTTTATTCTTTTTTTTTAAATAGTAATAAAAATGATCAGAAAACAGTAGTAATATTACTGTTAATAATAATGATTAGAGGTCAAAATTGGCTAATATTTTGAGAAAATCCACATGTACCTGTTTGGCTTAACTAAATGCCAAATCCTGTTTAAAAATATTTTATAGTGTAAAATGTATCATGAATATAAATATATACTGTTCATGTAATACATATATAAAATACATAGGAGCATGAAATGAAAATGTGCATACATAGAATGAAATTAAAATGTTGCTAAATTAATTTCATTTTTATCATCTTTTTAAATATATATTTTATGATGCACAGATATTCTGATATATCTATTGTATTTATATATGAAGAGTTTATTTGCAAAAACAGATAACTGAAGAAAAAGAAAAATAAACTTTTTTTTATTTTCAAAAATCATGTTTGTATTATGTTATCATGTTTTTATTGTGTTAGTTATCTAGTATTTTTTTTTGTCATTTTTTACCTAATCAAAATAACCCAACTGCAGTTTGATTGAGATTAACTGGAATGCACAATGAAAAAACATGATTTTTGAAAATAAAAAAAAAACGTTGTTATCTGTTTTTGCAAATGAACTCTTCATATGTTGGTATTATTCCTGAAGGCACTGACTTCTTAAAAACACAATATCAGTCAAGTACTAATATTTCTTATATCTTTACCCTTTTTTTTTTTGCATCTGTTGTAGTGTTGAGTACCTTTTTAATGAGTTTATCCTCAAAGCTGTTCATCGCATGTTGGTCCATGGCTCGCCTCTCATTTATTCTCTCAATAAGATCCTGTGCTTTCTTTCCAATCTCATCTATTCGTGAACTTGTGGGAGTCAACACGGCAGCTTCTTCCATAGTACTGTTGCCCGGCGAACTTCTAGTCGAGGTTTTTGAAACTCCGATACCCGAGTCCTCACTGTTACAGGGTGAAAAAATGGGTAAAATGTCTGTAAACATAATTAACAATAGCAAACAAGCAAGAACAAGTTTTCTGTTACTGGCTCACCTTTGTTGCTCATTGTTGTCATCCAGACTAACAAATGACAGAGTTTCACCTGTTGAGTTAAAACCATCATCTGGCACCTGAATCGAAAGGAAATTCACTTTAGCAGCAATACTAGACCATTATCAGATATTTGACAATTTTAGTGTAAAATCATATGTACCTTTGCTGATGAGAGGTGATGACCAGCTTTGGGAGTTGACTGCAAGGCCATAGAGCCTGAATTTCCAAAGAAGTGCTGTGCCATAGCCTGAAAAACATAATATATGACTTATTTAAACATTAACATGACAGATACAAGTACATGTATACGTTACCATGATAATTAACCTGCGTCATCATTCAAAACCTAACGTTACAGTCATTTTAACATAATGCGGTGATTTCATGATTATACTTTGAGCTCCAAAGTACGTCAAAGAATACAATGATACTATTATCGTACATGTAATTCATATGGTACCTAAATAATGCAGAATTTCACGACAAATAATATAAGTCAAAGTTTTACGCTTCGCGTTCATATTAGCATGTTAAATTCTTATATTGTAACTAGCTCGTTGCTTAGCAAATCTGAATTACGTAAACTTACTCTCTTTAACGTGTCACCGTCAAGTAATGTGTCTCTGGGGTTCTTCTAAACCGTAATAGTAACAAAGGAACAAATGAGTGGCAATTTTGTTCACTTTTATCGGAGTTGTTTACAGTTTACGCAAACCTACAGCGCGCAGTGATGCACGTGACGTGCAAGCGCGTGTGATTCTATACGAAAACAACAGCTAATTATACCATTTTTACCACAAATATTTTTTTTTCATATCTAGATTTTACAGAATAACTTGTTTTTTTTTTTTTAAATAATTATTTATTTAGAGGATTAAAAAAAAAGAAGAAGATAAAAACCTAATCTATGTGTGTATGCACAATCTATGTGTCCAATAATACACGGTATTTTTGTGAGTGTTGTGTTATAAAACCAACAGAGTTTCTTAAAATCCTCCATCAGTTTGCAATCCAATAACAGCGAGTTTTATAGGGAGACCTGCCCTCATAATTTGCACCAGTCTCAGGTCAGCATTTGAGGAGCAACCATTAATCCGTAAATGGAAACACATTCAGGCCTGGCCTCGCTGGCTCAGAACATAATGGACTGTAATAATGAGATGAATGAGTGTCAGAGTGCAGAGGGTCAATCACTGAAGAAACAAACTCATATACATCTTGGATGGCTTGAGGGTGAGTCAATTTTCAGCAAATTTTCAGTTTTGAAAAAACAATATTTTTAATGTTAGTTAATAAAAATACAATTGTTCATTGTTTGTTCATGTTAGTTGAGTGCTTTAACTAATGTTAACAGATACAGCTTTTGATTTTAATATTGTAGAAATTAATAAATGCTTTAGAAGTATTGTTTATTGCTATTTCATGTTAACTTTTCACGTTTATTGTTATTTCATCTCATGTTTTGGTTGTTATATGAGCGTATTATCACATAATTTCCAGGACACTGACTTCTAGCAGGGACGCAAAAAAAATAGGTGGACAAATGTTCAAAGTCAAACCAGGTGCCAGATTTCATTTAAAAGCTCATCCAAAAATAAAAAACAGTGAGGGAAACAGAGAAGAGAATAGGATGTTGTGAAAGCATGATGTCAATCTACTGATGATTAGAGAGGCAGTATCTGATATAAACCCATGTGCTGACACATTATCACAGAAAGATCATATTCATCAGCACTAAATACCATGAATGCTCAGGTTTTGTTCACCTCAAAACAGGCACAATTCCTGAGAAGAAAACAGAGGAGAGTCTGGGGCTAGCTGTCCCAGGACTGTAGACAAAACTTCAAGATATGTGTTAAATGCATTCACAAATAAAAATGAGAAATTATAAGTATATAGAAATTTGCTCAAACCTTCCCAAGTGAAATGTGACAACTTGCCCCAATGTCAAGAACCACCACACACATTGTCACATACAATAAGTCCACATAAAAAAAAAATGTAAAAAAACTTGCAGTGCATGCAATAACATATTTTGTTGCTTGATCTATGAGAGCTGTATATATTACTGGCCTTGAGATTTTTCTTTCCTGAGATTGATATTTATATTTGCCCATAAAAATATCAGCAACTGCACTAAATTGCATATTTTTGCTCAGTTTGGGCCTCTGAATAAAATTGAGGGGTTTTCTCCTTAAGTATGAGCTCCATATTCCCATATGAGCCATTAAAACATAATGTATCAATATATATGTATGTAACCCCTCTCTCCC